CCACTGATACTTGCTAAAGTATCTCAAAAAATGTATACACACTTTAGAGTTAATTAATGATTATTAGCTCATGCTTTATCTTCACAATATAAATGAATCTACAGAAATGAAAATGTTTTTTCTCCTTTTGGTAAATGCCTGTTTTTAAGTAGCCCCATTGCTTCCAAGCTTTCTCTTGGAAAATGAGCCTCCTTTGTACGTCCTGCCAAGTATGACTTGCAAAAGTGTCTTTCGGTCTGGATTATTTAACTTAGAGACTGGGTTATTCTTGAAATGAAACTTTTATAATGACAGCATTCAAAACGCGATGGACATTTGCTTTTGAAATTTCTACTTGCCAGCCTTTTTGCTTCAAAGATTTCAAGCCGCATAGCTTGTAGAGACATTAGGACTTTTTTAGGGGGGAAGCAGGAGACTTGAAAAATGAGCAACGCCTTCGCCGGGAAATGAACCATGGACCTCTGGAATACGTGCCCAGCGTGCAGACCACCAAACCACGAAGGCATGCCAAGAAGGCGGGAGAAATAACTTATAAGGTGACCTGTTTGAAAATCTCTTTTAAATTAAATTTGCACTCTAACTTCATTTTCGAACTCCGAGGAGCACTTCAGTATAAATTTCCTTTATAAAAAACTTACTTCCATATATGATTTCAGTGTATAATGAGATTTTACTCTCCATATATGATGTCAGAATGGTTACATCTGAAAAGAGCAAAAATGCCACCCAACCGAGAAAGCGGTTAGCGACGCTGACTGCCGTACCGAAATGGCCCGCGTTCGAATCCCGGAGAAGGCAAGGAAGTATGTAAATGTATAGTATCCGTGCTGCATGGGAACACACTAAAATATGGAGCGAATCAAAAGTCCTTTCGATAAGTTGGTGGTAAGGGAAGAGGGGTAGGAGATCCTCGGATCCGTCCTCCCGGAGTGCTCTTTTTCAAAAGTGGGGGGGGGGCGGAGCTGAACAAAGTCGTACTGTTACCTGTATGGTGCTAAAAATTCTAGCCAATGACAGGTGCAATCTTGCGCTCCTTGCCACGATGAATTTCGTGGTCTTGTTGTGATGTTACGCTCAGACAAATGAAATAAGTCATTAAAAAAAACAATAACAACAAGAGCAAAAGTTAAGGTAATTATCAACTGCTAAATGAATATACATTTTTGAAGCATTCTTCATATAGGCGGCCGAAAAAAGGGGAATGTATGCGCGTCGAGCGTGCTGACCACTGCACTACGAAAGCATGCTAAGAAGGCGGGAGAAATAGTACCTTATAAAGGTACGAATATAAAGGTACATAAAGGTGCGGCATTTTCTATTAAAGCATATAAGCGTACGCGGTTTGAACAGAAAAATTATTCTCGAGATCTTTATTTAAGCATCTCGTTAGCATTAATCCATAAGCCTTAACTTAAGCAGTAGAAACAGTAACTAACTTAACAGTAGGAACTCGAGTATCAGTCACTCTTTTAATCGTCATTTTCTGTTGTCTGTTAGCCAGTGAAATAATTCAATGGGCAGAATGGAACCCAAAAGTTTTGGTGCATGTTTATAGAGCAGTGTGTTAAAATGCTACTTAAATAATACAATATCGTTGTGGAAGCACGGAAAAGGCTTCGAGGCATTAACGGGAGCAAACGTATGCAATCGTAAATGACTGTGACCGAAACAAAGCGGAAATGAAGAGGATGGGGCTGCTATCGATGAGTCATCAAAAATAACTACCCGCAGTGAAATAGAAATTACGCTTTCTAATCGTGTACTGAATAATTTGAACAAGAAGAGGAAATAAACATTATACAGCTGTCGCTTCTGTGTAAATCCGTAACGTAGAAGCAAAAAATACGAGAATAGGATGCTAAGCTAAAAAAGAAAACAGGCAGGCCTTTAAAAAAAAAAAAAAAGAAAACAGGCAGGCCTTTAAAAAAAAAAAAAAAAAAAGAAAACAGGCAGGCCTTTAAAAATCGTTGCACAGCGTACAAATTTTGTTCCTAACTTTTTTTTTTTTTTTTTTTTTTTTTTAGCCCAAAAGGGCTAGTAGTCTGAAAACGGGATTTTGCGTCGAATCACTATAAATGCGTCGTTTCGCTTTTAATTCGAATCTGTTGCAATTCGGCAATTTTTATTTTTCAAATTCAATATGTCTGTTGTGGATTAACAAGCTAAGCTATATTAAATAACAGCTGCAATTCTTAAGAATATTCGCTTTCTACTTCCGAGTCGGTTTGATTTAAATATTAAAAATGCATTTAATTCATGATCTATATAATTAAAAATATACATAGAATGACGCTATAGAATTTTTTTTATAATTTATTTCATGTTTTGTGAAACTTTAATGAACTTTCGATTAATAAACTCAACGATTAGCGAGCAATAGCAGTACTGTACAGAATAAAACATTCTTATCTCCAGGGCGCGAGACTCTCTAATTCTAAAGATATGCTGTTTTTAAGTATTTTGTGATTTTCCTGGTAATATTTAGTGATTTTTTGAATTTTATGTAGCCTAAGTGCGAAGGGCGTGATATTTAATAGATAAATTTAACACGCAAAAAGTTATTAATAAAAATACAAACAAATGTTTCTTGTATGATATATGACCTTGATATGATAAAGTGAGAAAAGACTAAAACAAAAGGGGAGGGAATTTATGCCAACATTTAACACTGCATCGGAATTCTAAACATATGCTCCTATGCCACTTTTAAAATTTTTGTGATTTTGCTGTTGAGTTGTATATGGCATAAGTGCGAAAAAAATTGTGCTTGATAATAAAGCTAAAATAAAAAAAAAAAAATAGTTCAGCAGGAGGGAGTACAACTGCAGACTGGTCATTTGCGAACTCAGCGAGAGCACAGAAAACATTAACAAACCCTTTTGGGCGACCTTTAAAATCTGACACCTTTCAGATTTTAACGGCCACCCAAAGAAGGTTTTTTCCCCTGCTTCTTGTTCTTTCAGTGCATCAGGAAAAGTCTCCTTCGTCATTTTCAGTGGTTAACTAAAGGAAGCTTACACATTTATGTGTTTATTGAGCATCAGATATCACGCGGTGTGTTATTTTAACGGAGTACATTTATTTTAACTACGCATTACTAAAATAAAAAAGAATTTTCTTCTTAGCTTTATGTACTTCATTTTGCAGACACCTTTTGGCAGTTGCAGTAGATAAAATATACAGAGTTTTTTTTTAATTTAACACGATTTATATACCACAAATACATATATTTATATACTACGAAATTTTTATTTTGCTTTTTAATGAACATAATAGTAAACAGGGTACTGATTTTTATTCATACTGTGCATTGTCCCATACTGCAAAGAAAATTAACCGTATGTTGAGATGTCTAGTCAGATCAGGTTTACGAATTAATCTTAATCAAACAGAAAGCAAGCGCCTGCTGTTGGCCAAAGCCTTGAGCTACTCACAAACGATAGTACAACTTTCGCTCAGTTCTGAACCAATCTTTAACCCTTTCCGGCACGCTACCTTTTAAAGTAGGAGTTTTGATTTAAAAAAAAAAAAATAAAAAAAAAAAAAAAAAAAAAGGTAGGCAGTCTAATTAGGCCTAGAGGAGTACACAAGTAAAATTTTGTGAAGATAGCACTTATCGTTTATTTCTGTGGATGTGCCCGAAGAGGGCACACTGATTGAATAGAGCTTCGAAAAGAGTGCTGAAACGAGCATTGTTGTCAATGAACTGACCGATGAGATGCGGAGAAACAAAGAATACAGACTCTCAGTTGTCCTAGATTATCGGTGAGCCCGGTCTGGGCACACCTAGGATTCGCCGTTTGATTTTAAACAAGATTTCAAGGTAAAAATGTAAAGCTAATATAGAATAAGGATATTAGCATACAGCCAAAAAATAACATAGAAATTTCTTTTCAAACAATTCCTTTTATACCCTAAAAAAAATCTGGAAAATTTCTTAGAAAAATGAGAGTCTTAAAAAACTAAGCATGGCTAAAATATATGGACTGGTTTCTATTGAGCTGCCATCTTCTATAAATAAAGAAGATTCAGACTAACCTATAGTAATCTAAAATTCTTTTTTATTCAATTTTTCTGTGCGTACAGAAGGAAATTTTTAGGTGTGTCCAGACCGGACATCGCAAAGGGTTAAAGAAAGCATTCCTGTAGAAGGAATACAAAATACCTCTCTTTACTTACCTCCAATCTCTCGAGGGAAATTTTGGCTCGATAGTGTTTTAAGTAACCTAGTGTCGCAAAGATCCTTCCTTCAAGAATGCCTTTGTGGTGTAACGGCAGCACACTCGGCGCGTATTCGAGAGGGCATTGATCATTTTTTCCATCCCCTGCTTTAAAAAAAAATACTCTACAACGTAATTGACGTACTTTCTGCGTTAAACTTGAGAATGCTGAATTGAAAACTGATTTCTGCTGCATAATAGTGGGCTATCACATAATACCATTTTCGCCAAACAGTTTCCAGCAAAAAAAATTGTGTCACATTTCTGAACTACCTCTCTTGTTCACAAGATTTGGCATCTACAGCCTATTCCTCTTGTCTGAAACATCACCTTAAAAGTATTTTTTTAATAGCACCGAGTAAGTTCAATAATCCATAACCAGAGACTTAAACAGCGTTTTGAAAGATGAATTTTACGGAATCAAGAATCCATATGAACATGCCAAGTGTTGTGTAGATTTGCAAAGATTCCATAGTTGGAAACTAAAAAGTAAGAATGTTGTTTCCTTCAGCTTTCGATTTATTTTCATAGTCCGTAAAATTCGTAAGCGCACTACGTATGGAAATTTAGATTTCATGTTCACAATTCTGAAACAATTTTCATAAAATTTTCTTACTTATTTTTCAAAATTTTGTGATTGAAAACAATATCTAGGCTCAGTATTTAAAAAAAAAAAAAAAGCTCGAAGCTATCATTATTTACTGTATATATCATAAAAAGTTATTTCTAGCAAGATGTTAACTGTTAATAAAGCAAATAGTTACCAGTGAAGAATCATACCATAACGATTTACCATTTCTTTCTTCGCAAAGAATCTGCGAAAACATAAAGCTCTTCGATATTGCTTAGGAAAGCTGTAAAAAAAATATCTATTAAGTTAAATCATAGTGAGAAACAGTAATATTTCATCCTCTATATACACATATTAATACACATCGACGCCCACATCGCAAGAAATACTTACATCATTTTCTCATAAAACTCAAAATAAACTGTGTTTCACAATTTTTTTTTTTTTTTTTTTTTTTTTTTTTTTTGTTTTCATACTATTGCGTGCTTATTAATAGTTATTTCCGAACATTCTTGAGATAATTAAAAGTAAAGAAACAGCTAATCGCGATAAAGCTGGAAAAAATATCGTAGCGAAAGAATGCAGGTTCTTCAATTACGTAATTATGGAATTGTGACATCTTGTACTATTCTTCTCAAATTTTCTTTTCGAAGCGAAGAAAAACTACCTTATATCAAAGACAAATTGTTTCGTAATAAATTTGTTCAAAATTAAAGAATCATTCACAAAATTCAAAAAGCGTTTGAAATAGTCTGTGTTTATTTTAACAAAATTTCATGTTGCGTAAAATATATTACGCTTTTGTCTTTAATATAAACTAACAGTTCAGATTTTATTTCTTTGATCATTTTTATGGAGATATTCTGTTAGGTTTATTTTAACTAACATGTTATTATTTTTATGTTAATTCTTTCTGTGTCTTCTAAATCTTTCATCAGTTTTCCCAAGAATGAGACTTGAGCTTAAATAATAAGTTTCTAATTTAGAAAGGCAGCTGTGGCAAACGACTTATCCATCTGCGTGTCTAACAGAGTTTAGTGAGTGATCTCTTATATTTGTTAGTGCTTAGATTTAGGAGCTGCGGATATTTGAAGTCGGGTTGTTAAGACATTGAAACTATTTGTAGTGGAGTATGTATTCAAATATTTGTATTTCTAAGACCTCGGAAGTATTGGTGGATACGTTTTGTTACAATGTAGCTGTATCTAAATACAATTTGTTAATAAACCGTTTGATAAATCTCTTTTCTGTATTTATGCAAATCTACGCTTCTAGTTAAGTGCAAAGAAGCTAAAGTACCGAATCTGGAGAATATGGGGTCCTAGTTAAGAAATGGGACTCGTTTTGCTAGAAACTGCTCAGTCAGAATATAACTGCGTCATGATGCATTGTCACGTAGTAGAACCAGTAATTCGACTGACTTTTATCATGCATAATACGCTGTCTTCTCTTCCGAAGTCTATAAAATATGAAGTTTACGATCTGCGTCTCCGAAGTAAATTCTTTGTGAATTATCGATTTTCAGTTAAAAGCATTCATCTGGATGCTTCTTAGTCGAGATTTCTGAAATCAAAAATGCTCATCGAGGTCAATTTTTTCTAATCCAAGTAGATGGTTGCCATTTTGTTTCAGAATGAACAAAGCATCAAGTTTCATCTGTGTTACTATTTTTGTGCACATAATACAGAAGTAATAGTGAACAGTTTGTGATATTTATTGAAAACAGAAGTAACGTCTGCCATTGGATTAAATCACGGCTTATAAAAATTCGGTCCTTTAACTGTTCTGCTGTTGATCGTGAAGGACCAAATACGAACAAATTTTTATTTCTTCAAAATCTTCCGCGATAATTTTGGATAATATGAATACTTGATCTGAGTATGCTTTATACAATCTGAAATGTCTAGGTTATTGCTGTTTGTGCGATAATGCTCGAGTTTTTAAAGGTCTGCTGAATACTGGTAGTTCTTCGCAGGTTCGAACACAGGCCAACGGGCTAGCTGCATGGTTGGTTTTCCTGGTTTTACCTATGTATTAACATTAATACAAGATAGGTTTTTTAGAAATTTCTAAAAAACCATTAACCTAAGAGTACTTAGTACTCTACCTAAGAGTAGATAGCCCTTGTGTGTTTTGCCATATTCAGATAACCTAACCTAACTCAATTCACAGTAAACTTTTATTTCTGTTCTTTGCTCAGGTTTAGAATCTATGCTAGCAGATGTTTACTGAATAATTAACTACTTTTTAAAATTATTATTCTATGCAATTGACTGAATCTTATAATATAGAAAGTTCTGTTCGTTAAGCAGACGATATTTTAAATAAAGTAAGTTGAGAAATAAGTGTTGTCAATTATCATATGGTACATGAGCTGGAATCTGTTAAAAATAATAATTATTATTATCGAAATTCATCGATTTATGACGTCTGAAATCTAACTTCATTTTTTTCCCCGTACATTTCTTCGTTGCTCTATCCGTTTGCAAGTTTTGCAAAATGCTGTTAAAATTGAAAAAGTTTCTAGCATACTTAATAAAAACCCTGTATAAATAGAGATGCGTAGATTAAAACTGATTCAGATGCACTATCTTTTGATTTGCTGAAAAAAATCTGCGGCCGAAAAAACTGTCTGGCGCCATTTTAAAATGAAAATGGAAGATGAAGTAATCTGCATAATCTTTTGTGATAATTCTAATCAATCTTTTAGATGATATACTGCGCAAATGGTGAAAATATTTTCTTTAGAAGTTTTTCATGCTTTTCCGTCGTTTACCAATTTATTTATTTGTTTCATATGTTTCCTTTGTTTACTTATGTATTTTGTTCCCAAAGGAAGACATTATTTTTCTGTTTTAAGAAAAACAAAAGGTAAAAAAAAGAATAACATTTATAGAACATTTGGCTTTGATTCAGTTTTGAAATACATTTCATGTTACATTATTTTATACAGACAGAAAACTAAAATATACAAAATATTCGAGTTTTCCAACTATCGAATAATATTTTAATAACCGTTTTCTTATATTTTATTGCGAAGAAAATATTCTAAATCCTTAAACTCAGTTTACTGAAAATAAATGTTGAGTACAATTTAAAAAGGAGGTCAACGAATGAAAATTTTCCTCTAAAGTTCAATTAATCAAACTTCTGTTTCGTCGTTCAAACGGTAAAATAAAGATCCACGTTCTCCTAAAAACTCTTCGACAGATTCTAATTAGGCAAAGACAAGTACAATTTTCAAACGAATAGCTTCTAAGGCATAGAATTTAAGAACATATCAACTTTTGTGAGAACAAAATCTGAAAAATTGTTTCAGAACAAATGTTCGAATAGTTGAAGAAACTAAAATGACTTTCAGTGCCTTCCAAACTTATTTAATTGGAGAATACTTCGAAGTTCGAATATTTTCAATAGTGAATAGTTAAAAGAAAATTAGATCTTAGTTTGATTCTTTTCATTGGAATTTACAGAGCAGGTTCATACCTTTTCAAATTAAATAAATAAATAAATGATGCCATAATGTTTATGGATTTCGAATAAATGCTGGTACAATTTATGCTGCTTATTAACATTGTTAAATATTTCAATAATTTTAAAAGTGATATTTATATTTTTTCACTGCATGTTATAAGTCAATATTTCTTAATTTACGGTATTCAGGAGATAACTTTATAGAGATATTAGGTATTTTTTTTGGAAGCAGGAGAAGTGAAAAATGAGCAACTCCCTCACCGGGAATCGAACCATGATCTCTGGAATACCCACCCAACGTGCAAACCACTATACTACGAAGGCGGGAGAAATACCTTATATACTCCCCCTTTTAAAGGCGACTGGAGTTATAGGGGACCCAATCGCTAAATCCTGGGGTGTGGAGAATCATCATTCACCACCCCTATAGTTCGGGCGCCACTGTAGAGACATTAGGTATTTTTTTGGAAATAGGAGAAGTGAAAAATGAGCAACGCATTCGTCGGGAATTGAACCACGGACCTCTGGAATACGCACCCAGCATGCAGACCACTACACTACGAATGCATGCTAATAAGGTGGGAGAAATACCTTATAACGTGATAGTGAATAATTTTGATTCTAACCGCCAGCCGTCTTAAATAGTTATTATAAAAAGGAAAATACAAATAAAAAAAAAAAAAAAAACTGAAAGTTTTCAGATATTAAATTACATCCAAAGAGGCATTTTTTAACGTTTTATGTGTTATCTTTATTTATTAAATAACATGTTCTACGTACTCAAACCATAAAATTCAGTTCAACAGCAATATCGCAAAATAATTTTAAAATGAGCATATCTTTAGAATTTTCGATACACAGTCTGGCGCGCTGGAGATAAAATTTTTTTTTTTTTTTTTCCCTTCCGTACAGTGTTGCCATTGCTCGCTTTGAAATCGTTTAGTTTGTTAATCAAAAATTAGTTGAAGTGTTACAAAATATGAAATCGATAATAAAACAAATTTCAAATTTAAATTAGGGCTTCCACGAGCCCATATTCTATGAAAGATTACGTTATTCAAATTTTGTTGGCTCTAGGTACCGTTGTTTTATCACAATGCAAGAGAGATACATGCATTCATGCAGATTCTTCATTATTTAATTTCTTGAAATATAATACAGGGCGATAATATTTGATGGCAACAATTTGAAAAGTGAAACAACGTTTATCGTAAATCGACGCAAAATGACAAAACGAAATTAAAAGCCCTTCTGAGCAAATTGCCCCTTTGGAATAATAATTTTTTTAATGAATTCAAATACTGTAATTCGTGGATTCTATTTAGTATGATTTCATAAAAGTATTTAATAAAGTTAATAATAAACCAAAAGTAGTGCTTTTTTTAATCATAAATTACACAAAAGCCGTCTTGCAGTAGTCATCGTATATGTTATTTCTACAGTAAAATTCCTTTTTCTTTCTACGTATGCCAAGAAACCTGAAGGATATTTCTCTAAGAACCAGGAACAAGAAAATTAAGGAAAGAGCTTAAACGACATTATTACAAGATCAACTGGTCGGATTAAATTAATACTGAAGAATTTCCGAACGAATTATTAACGAAAATCCGCTTAGGAGAGACAATAAATGCATTTTCTTAAAATCAATCAGATTAAACAGTTAGGAAAAAGCATTATTAAGAACTTGGTTTTAATTTCCTTAGTTTCTTGATCAATAACTGACCGATCAAACTTGAAGTTAAATATCTCACTCTTTGCTGAATGGCAACACATTGGAACATGGAAGATGAAAGCATTTTATTTCCGGTG